ACATTGCATTCATTTATAAGTACTTTACCTTCGCTACCTACCAGTTTCAATTTTCCACTTTTGGGTCTTATCCTGATCTTATCTTCAATTATTGATCCCGTAGACTCTTGGCCGTTCCAACTACAAAAGGCTTCCTTGTAGTAGGATAAGAGAGGAATGGCCAAGGACTTTTGCTGGTTACAACCCAAGCTGCTAGCATAGTCTCCTGCTATTCACTATTCAGTTCTTCCACCAAGTTTTATACATAGTTTTTCAATAACTTTGTTATTCCACATCAAGCCTCATTCTTTTCTTCTGGATTTTTCATGCTCTACTATCTCATCCATGGTAGGACAGAATTTAGTTAATTTGACCTATTTTTCGTTTATAACTAAATTTTTGTGACAACCAATTTCGAAGGTCTACTTATAAACGAAAAATAAGTAATGTGGTCGATTGTTATAGAAAATAAATCTGCATTTCCTTCCTTAAAATTGACATATGCCTTGTAACCCAAGGGCACTCGTGGCAATGGGGCGTAGGGGTTAATGTGTCGAGGCTTGACGCTGCATTGTCATAGTTCGAGTCACGCTAGGGGTTTGATATAATCTGGGCGAGGTCGAGATTACATTCCACTTCAGCCCGGATGTACAATTCTATAGAAACGCAAGGTCTACTCATCAGATTGTGGAAGAATTCAACCTTCAGTCCCATTATCATCTTAAACGAAATAGGGTGATTACATATAATATAATTTGGCTTAGTTGAATAATAGGATATTACGACTTATTAAAAGACAATTTCCTTTACACATGCATTGGCTTAAAGCTTGTACCTAGTATACCAAGCCATTTCATTGCCTTGTGGTTTAGGTACCTGCTTCCATGTTGGATGCGGATCCAAAGAATTTCCCTGTAGGTCCTGTGAGAATTCCATTCTTGGACGAAGGCGATGATGCTTTTAACACAGAGGCCGAAGATCATCGTGCCAGCCGTTTAAGTCATGAGCACGATGAATCCGGACGACTTTGTTCGGGACTGTCGTTATCTGGCTCTTTAGACGAGTCTTTACCGCCTGCCGGTGGTGATGGAGAGCATTCATCTCGTGGTCCTGCAAGACATTTGTCAGCCGCTGGCTCTGCATCTACCGGCTCCCATTCAATGGGCCACTCGCTACACGGCCACCAACATGACGTCAGTCGAGGTCTCAGCATCCATGACTCAGATAGCCTCAATGGCAGCGCTGAAGATTTGGCCAAACTTGACTTCAATCGAAGCCTCTCTGTTTCAGCCGGCTCTATGGATAGTCAAGGGAGCCTTGGCGATATTCCTCTGCAAGATTTAAAATCCTCCCAGTTAGTCCTCAAATTTTTTTAATATATTTTAGGAAAGTATTTATATACCAACGGCCTCGAAATTATTTTGGACGTTCTAGCAGGTATCTGCTTAAATTATTGTTCTTACTACCACGCAACGAACATTTTGTCACGTCGACTAGTTGAGCTCGATCGTTTCACGCTGCGTTGTCGACATTTATATCAGAACTCTTTCGTAATAAAGTTTAACTTGGCGCTTTGCTAGAATTTAGTCATCGGCTATTTCTCATACCTCCGGGACTACTCGTGTTTTACGCCCAGCTAATTTTTTTCACATTATCAACTGATACAAACTAGTATGACTTTCCATATTTTCACCCAAATATTATTTCTTTTACGTTGTGCATCGTTTTATTAGGACGTTAGACAATCTACTTACTGTATGTATATTACACTCATATTTTTCCCCTGTGTCGCTACTCTCACATTTTCACAGAGCCATTCTCAGATTTACACAATAGTAGGATTTAGGCTCAAAGTCTATAATTCCTCTTGGTTGTATTTTACCCTTAAATGTGACTTTTTTCTTGGATTAAAAGATATCATGATAACCAAGGCGATATGTCTACACCAAGTGGATTTTTCCTGATAATTAGAAATCGTGCTTTTTATCCAGTCATCATTTCTTAAATTTAGGATAAAAACACTTTTAGATGCTTCTGCATAATAGTTTGAGGATGCCTATTCTATAAATTCCAGCTATCCCTCTTTATTATTGCGTTAAGTGTCTGTGTGAATCGAGTTACTTATGCGAGGCTTATACTGGCACTTTTCTGAACTGCATTCGCTCGAATCATATTTTTATGCTTTTATATTTTTTGAAGCCTATTCGATTTTTATTCATCCTACTTTGACACCTTTTGTTTTGCATGACGTTTGGCTTCTTACAGAGTCTCAGGCTTTAATCTTTCCATCCTTAGTATGTCTTACTGGTCGTGTTTTTATTAGGAATTATACTTGCACTTTACCACAAAGCATTATGCTCTTCTAAATTACACTATACCACCTCGTTTTGTCACGCCTAAACATCCCACCTACATACCAAATAGCCATGTAGAATAACCATTTATAAATTGTAGTCCATTTTACTTCGGTGAATATTGACACATCAAGATAAGGATATTGAGATTAACCTATCTTGTTTCTAAACACACCCATTTTCAGCGAATTAGACCGACCTCGCCGTCGTTGGAGGACCGGAGGAAGCCAGTGGCATAAGAGGTCAACCATCCTGAGGCACGCTTATATCGCTCGTATATCAGATATCGTCCATTTTGTGGGTGGACAACATGACTTAGTCCACTGTACTCGGCCCCTGGCTGCAGGAAACATCGTGGGACTTCTTGGCTCTGAACTTATTTCCAGTCTGCCTAAATCGGGTATGCTGGTCTCTCGGCTTCGATTAGTCGCTCCGGATGGTCAGTTACTGCTTATTTTTTTATCATTATCCCTATGGCCTTTGCTTAAAAATAGTTTTTATCACTCTAAATTCCCCTCTAGTTCATTTGAGCTATATAACTGAACTATATGAGAGCCCGGGATTTCGCACTGTTTTGTCATCCTTACTCACTACAAATATTCATTAAATTGTGATACCTTGACTTATAAGCTGTAATTTTGCCTCTCACCTAATATTAGAATAGCCTTATTGTTCTAATCTGAAATTTGAAGGAAATTGCCTCGGAATTAAGGAGGTAGATGTTATAATAATAGTATCTTGTACACTGCCCTCAGACCTCAACAAATCCATTGTTAATGGATTGAAGAGGCGAGTATAAAGGATTGATAAATTGGCCTCATCAGAAATTGTGGTGGGATTGCCTTGAAGCTGTGACTTTATTTGTGTGAATAGGACCTCGGCTCACCGTCCTTCGAACCAGATGAACCCTCGAAAACCTATCGTCCGTTATGTGACGGATATCCTCAGAGCAGGACACCATGCTTAACGATACTTCTCCAAATACGAAAACAAGAATGATGGCCGGGTCCAAACCTACCTACTTCTTATGGCCCAATTTGGTCCGCTTAATTAGGCATCTCATGTTTTGGTTGGATAACCTGTGCTTTGCCTAAATGTTCGCTGAAAAATAAAGTTAACTGGCTGCAGATACAAACGTGGCTAAACTGCTACATCCTCTCTTAAAACGCGTATGCCATTGATCTTGCAATGTTGTCTATTGTCATTACGTTCCATTGCACGCATGTTGTGTGAACTCATTGCTCTTGAAATGAGTGTATTATGAGGATCAAAACCACATTCGAGCATACTCAAGCCTCCTTCTACTCGGTGGTACTTCTCGTTCCGTGCCTCTAATCCTATCCAAATGTCCCCTACAATTTCCGGTGAGACCAGCTTGCGAATCCATTGCACTCGCCTCTTCAAACGAGATAAACTATACTCCAACATCAATCTCTAAGGGATTCTACGCAACATAGTCTTTCTACATACCTCAATGGATCTATACTTTTCTCTCAATACGCATGCTGCAGACATCATTTGGGAGATAAACTATTTTTTATAAAGCCTTATAAAAATCATTGAAAGACTAGTTGTCCGCTTAAATTTTTCGTATAAACCTTGTTTATCACCACATACACGATTTAAATACTATTAGTATGCCTCCCTTATTTTTAATGCCTCAAATTGACGTCATACTCTTACCTTTATCACTAATATTGAAAAATTTGCCTTGAGTTTTGATCCAATTATCCTTTCTGAGATGTAGCATGAAAACATTTTTAGAGGCGTTTCTATAATGCTTTCGGGATGCCTATTCTATAAATTTCAACTCTCCCTCTTTATTAGGATGTTAAGTGTTTAGCGATCTATTTCTGTCATTTTTATCACATTAACCTTTTAAGGCCTATACAAAACTTTATGCAGCTTATGAGCATTTTTTATCAAAATTTGCCCTCAGCTTTTTAGAAATATTCTTTATTTCCTTTGATGCTATGGCAGCATCATATTTTGTTTAAATATTATGCAACAAGATCATTGATGCGTTTTGAACTTCTCTTAAGCCTGGTCACAATCTTCTCCATTTAAAGATTTATCTAGATACCCTAAAATTTTAAAAAGATTGAGTAGGATGCTATAGCCAGAATAACATTGTCCATTTATGCTTTACATGCACAATAGTGCTAACGCTTCACTCCTTTGTTCTTAGCTGTCTTATATAAAATAAGCATTGCCGAATCTGGCACCTTTTTCTCCATCATAGTTTGTTTAACCTTTTATTTGCTTGATTTTTTAACGTCCTGAAATTAATTATATCTATGCTGGTTTGGGAAGAAATTACCTTGTTTATTTGTTCCTTTTTTT